AAAGGGTGATCTGGTTCCTCGGGAGGGAGAAGTGATCAAGGCGTGCAATTAATGCTAAGTCTGGTCTAGCAATTAGTATGCACGTGTGTTTATTCGTCTCTAGGTGAGATGATTCTATTGTTTAATGGAGGCTAATGACCTGTTTATATAGCCTCGAAATACGTGCCTAATATTAGGTTTTCTGGGAAAACCTAGGACTGATTGGGCTTGCCTCGGGATTCGTGCCTTTGGCGGCCGCTATCCAGGTTGGCAAATTATGGGCCACATGGCGTGGCCTGATTAGTCCATGTTGGACCTCTCAGGGTGACAAGTGGCGGACGCTGATTGGCCCACATGGTGGACATGTGGCAGGTCCGGATTGGTCCATTTGTCATGGGTAATTTTACCCTAAACACGTCCCATGCTCTCCCATAACACAAAGTGCACTCCATATGATATTGTATGTCTAAATATCCTACATTATCAGAACGAATTATTTGACTGTATTTAACATTCAAGTAAAAATGTTATCTTAAAATTTTATCAACCATCTAGGCATCGGCCGAGCATAAAACTATATATATATAAAGGGGACTTTTTTCCCGAGTTTTTAGAGAGCCATGTAGGATTTAATTTTCTTAGCGCACCATGTAGGATTATAAATTTTAGTTGTAGCCAATTAAATAAGAGATTATTAATTTCTTTTAGAATTAAAAAATTCAAATGCACTAGACGAAAAAGATAAAAAGGCACCGGTTCAAACCCTACCTTTGGCACCGGTTTTGAACCGTTGGGTATTTGAGGGATGCCAAATCCATGAAAATTTGGCACCGGTTCAAAACCGGTGCCAACTAAAGCATTTAGCACCGGTTAACCGGTGCAAAATCATTGGCACCGGTTAACCGGTGCTAACTACCATAGCGCGATTTTTTTATTTTTTTTTATTTTCAATACTACCACGTAAGCAAAATTAGCGAAAGAGATTTTTTATAAATTAATTAAATATAAAATATTATCTTTTGATGTTACGAAATTTGTCTAAATATATAACAAATTTTAGCACATAAATAAAAAAAATATTTTAAAAAATTCAAACAAGCTGTGCATCGCACGGGTAAAATTAATTTTTTTTTAAGACCGGTAAAATCTAATATCATATCACTAATAAATAAAGTCGGTCTCGCAGTCAGGCCACAAGACAACGACACTTGGCATTCCAGTTTTTCGCCAAGTGTCGCACCACGTAAGAGATAAATAGGTATTATTGTGACACATATGATGCTAAGTAAGCGATTTTTGGATAAATTTTATAAGATAAAATAGTTGTATAGAGTTTTATTATCGATAGAATTCTAATATTTGATAAATACAAAATTAATCATAACTTTCAATAAATATCTTATGACTCAATTCTATTTCCATCATCAAATTTGTTTTCAAAAGTTCTTTAAAAAAGGTCCATTTATAATATATTTAATCACAAACTTTTATACGTAGCTGGCCAAACCGGGTCACCAAGTATTACAAGAGTGACTTCGTTAGTGCTATAGGGGTTACTTGGTCAGTGTTATAGTGGTTACTCAATCAGTGTTATAAATAAAGGTTACTTAGTCAGTGTTAGAGGTTACTCAATTAGTATTACAGAGTTTACTCGGTCAGTTTTATAGGGGTTACTTTATCTGGCCAAATGATGTGGCTAGCCGCATATAAAATGCAGTGTTATTTAATTTATTTAAAAAAATTATTGGAGAATTAGTAAAAATAAGTTTTAATCAGTAAAAGCAATTTTAGTTTGGTAAAAATACTTTCAGTACAGTGAAGATAATTTAAGTACAATAAAAACAATTTCAAGTCAATAATAACATAGATGTGTATTTACAAACAAAACTACAAAAAGTAAACTCTATATGATATTGTATGTATAAATATTCCACATTAGCAAAACGAATTATTTGACTGTATCTAACATTCAATGATTTAAGTAAAAATGTTATCTCAAAATTTTATCAACCATTTGGGCATCGCCCGGGCACAAAAGATTTATTGTACAGAGTTTTATTATCGATTTATTTCTAATATTTCATATATACAAAATCAATCATAACTTTTAATAAATATCATATTACTCAGTTCTATTTCCATCATCAAATTCGGCTTAAAAAGTTCTTTAAAAATAAGATCTATTTATCATGTATTTAATCACAAACTTTTTACATGTAGCTGGTAACATCGTGTCGCCAACTATTATAAAGGTTATTTCGATAGTGCTATAGGGGTTACTTGGTTAGTGTTATAAGCGTTACTTAGCTCAATCAGTGTTATAGATAAGGGTTACTAAGTCATTGTTAAGAGTCACTCAATTAGTATTACAAGGGTTACTTGGTCAGTTTTATATGGGTTATTTTGTCCGGCCACATGGTGTGGCAGGCCGCATACAAAATGCGTTGACATTTAATTTATTTTACATAAAGAGAGAATCACTAAAATTAAGTTTTAATCATTAAAAATAATTTTAGTTAGGTAAAAATACTTTTAGTTCAGCGAAGATAATTAAGTTTAATAAAAGTAATTTCAAGTCAATAATAACATAGATATCCATATACAAATTAAATAAAACTACAAAAAGTACACTACTATATAAATATAAGTAATATAATATCAACCATCTGCGCATCCTGGGCACAATACTAGTAACTAATATATAAAACTAAACTTTTAGCCAGGTCACGAGACAACGACATTTGGCGTTTCAACTTTTCGCCAAGTGTCGCACCACGTAAGCAACATATAAGAGAATAGTATGACACATAGGATTCATTTGAATGTATTTATAGAATAAAAAATTGGATTTTTTTATTACGATAAAAAGTTAAATAGATTTTAGATAGATTTTGTACGATAAAAAAGTGAGTTTTATTTTCAATAAAATTTAAATTGCTATATAACTTCGTGTACTCGAATTGTTTTAAACAAATACCATTTTTTTATACACAAAAATTTTTTATGGCTACACTATCTTACATAATTATATTTATTTTAATCCAAGTAATATATAAGAATTCTGTTCATACGAGAAAACTAATATATAAAGTCGTACGAAATATAAAAATGAAGCAAAAACAAAAGTTTGATTAGGCTCTTTCCTTAATTAGACCAAAGGGAAATTAATTATGAGTTGATATGAAACGGGTCTATGGTGCGTAAGTATATGTAGAAGTTACCCAATTTCGAAACTAATTGAAGGCATTGAAGACATTATTTATTATTTTTGATGTCACCAAACATTAGAGCAATAAAAAAAATATTTATGTATAAAGTGATGATGCTCAAGAGATGTAGGCTCATGATAACTACTAAACTGAAGAATATTCCTGTGATAAAATAGCCAAACTATAACATTTGGCCATTTGCCTTAAAAAAGATTTCATGTTTAAGATGTTAATTAAGGTATAATGTCCAAATATAATGCTCTTAATATTTCATCTTTATGTTGGTGGCTAAATAATCTATAAATTTATTGGAGTGCTTGGCTATGAGAGATTTGAGAGAAAAAGAGGTTTTATGCGAAGATGGTTTATAATTTGAATGTTGATTTTTTTAAACCAAATTTGGGTATAATTTGTGAGTTGGGGGAATCTACCTACGTTGCAATGGTACTATTAATTACGATCTATTTTAATTTAATTTAATACTTTGTATGATTTTTAATTTATGTATAAAATAAATTTTACTCCTGTTTCGTAATAATCTCAATAGTTTGACTTGCACTATTTATAAGCTTACAAATTCGTTAACTTTTTATAAAGTGTCGCACATTACAGTTAAGAACTTCTGTATAAAATAAATTATCTTAAAATTCATTGAACAACCTGTGCATCGCGCGGGGCACAATACTAGTTTTACACATAAGTTGATTCAAATTAAACGTAAAACAATCCAAATACACGATAATTTTTTTTTTAATCAAAATATTAAAAAAATATTTAACCAACAAGTTTAACCTGTGCATCGCACGGACTAAAATACTAGTTTATAAAATAAAATATTAGGAAAAATACACTTTAATAATCCCAACTATTGTCGATTTACTTCTAATAATCCCAACTAAGGTTTACTTTTTAATAATCATAACTATCCCCTAACTTTGCCTCCAATAGTCCCAAAAATAGTTTACCTGCTGAAATGGTAAATTTATTTTTTGTTTTTTAAATACTACATGTCAGCACATGATTGACCTAATATTAAAAAAATAAAATAAAAAAAAACAGAAAACACTCCCAGCCACCTCGACCATGAAATCCCAGCCAACCCCCACCATGAAAATCCAGCCAATCCCCACTGTGAAAACTGACCGACCACCTCCCTAACCCCCCGAAAATGGCCGGCCGGCCGGCCCAACCCCCAAACACACACATTCGATCCACCTCAGCGCCGCTCTTCCAGCCCTCCCACACCCTCGAAACCGCCCAGGAGGCCAAAGTCGTGGGTTGGGGAAGGGAGGAGGGTCGTTTCGACAGTGGGGAGGTTTTTTTATAGGGAGAATGGGTGGTTTGGGGGTTGGAGTGGACTAGCTAGAGTGGTTTTTGGGGTTGGGAGTGGCCGACCGGTTGTTTTTGGGGGATAGGGGAGACGGCCGACCATTTTCCAACAAGATAGGGTTTGTCGTGGTGTTTTACGACGGTGAGAGGGGAGGGGGTGGTGGCTGTTAGGGTTTTTATTTATTTTATTTATTTTATAATTATAAACCAATCACGTGCTGACACGTGTATTGGTTTCCTATTACAACAAGTCGTTGACTTGGTGTTGACCAGTTGGGACTATTGAAGGCAATGTTAGGGCATAGTTAGGATTATTAAAAAAAAACCTTAATTGAGATTATTAGAAATAAATCGACAATAGTTGAGATTATTAAAATGTAATTTTTAAATATTATGCAAACATGCGTAAGCATAAAGGCCATCGATAAAAGTAGGGCTTTATAAATCTGACGGTTGACATAACTGGTTGTCGCCTTGTTGTATACGTGTCATTAATCATCTTCCTACATTTTCTCTATTTTTTTTTTCTCTTTTGAAGTTGTTTTCTCTTTTACGTTGCTCCCTCTCTCCTCCATCGAAGCGCGTCCGGTAAACCCTCCAGCGCGTGCTCTGAATCCTCCATTCAACGGGCTTCTGGGATTTCTCTCCTCCATTGAAGCAGCATCTCGGGTACAGTGTTTTTTTTTTTTTTTTTTCGTTTTTTAATTGATCATCGAATATCAATCTCACCAATCTAGGGTTTAACGTTTTTCTGATTGTCACTATAATCAACTTATGGCTCTTCTAAGGTTGATAATTGAACAATTGTTAAGGTTGATAATTGAACAATTGGTTATAATTACTGAAGTTTTAAAAGTTTATGGCGATCAACTTTTTTTTTTCTACAATTTTTCCCAATTTACGTTGATATTCTTTTATCGAAAATAAATGATGTGGTGCTAATTTGATAATTCAATCAAATTTGCATCTTTGTGTTTCCCTGGTTTTTGTAATCACAAGCCACTTTACTCTATGCCTGGACCTTAGTAGATGCTAGAGGCCTAGAGCATTTATGAGCCTAATTTAAGGTTGATGTTGTTAACTTTGTTTAAGACATCAACACAATTTGGTTCAGAGGCATTTTCGGCAAAATTCCATTTAACTTGGGTACTTTAGGATGCAATTGAAGGATGGTGCATCTGTAATTTTGTACTTGAACTGTCGAAAGAAGATGACTTGATGCCTACACGTTTTTTTCTTAATGGGAAAAGAGCTTCATGATTTATATTTACATGGTTGTAATTTTGAGAAGAAATTTCGAATCTTTTACTTGGAAAGCCTTGTTTACATTTTTTTTCTTAATTGTACAAGGGAATCCTGTCTTCCTCCCATATTACATCTTCGTTTCATGAATCGGTTCATTCAGCTTCCATTAGAAGCATTCCCCATGTGTATTTTTTTTTTTTTTTTTGGAATTATAGATATTTTAGTTTCAGATGGCACTTAATCAACATTGCCCCAGTTGTCCATCTTATCTGAACAGCTGACACATAGATTCAGGCGTTGGGTACTGCATTATATGGATATTTCTATGCTTCTAATCTCTAGTCAACTCATGGTTTTTTCCCATTTAGTCTAATTATAATGTTTGTGTTAGTAACCAATTAGCAGAGCAATGTTGATTCAATTAGTATTTAAAAACACAAGTTCTGATCATTTTCATATTTCGTAGTCATTAGGATAACTCATTTAATTTAATTCATTAGGGAATTAGGGAACTTGGTTTTGTTAGATAACTTTTTTTTTTTCCCTCCTTAGAGAACTTAATTTTGTTGTTTGAGTCATGTCTTGCTGTTCATGCATTTCTCACCATCTTGCTTCTCATCTTATTTTACATTTCTCAGGTTGAATTAGTTTAATATCCTTGTTCACTTGAAAACCTCAATTCCAAAACCAAAACTAAAACTTCAGCATTGAATCATATGCTAGCTCACAAAGAACCTAGCTTTTTATGGCATATCCATATTCATGCGTTTATATGTCTAAATCTTGTAGTGAGCTTAATGATTGACTAATTTCTAGCCTCTATAAAGAATCCAGGCTGCCTTTAACCTAGCTATTGATGGTATATCCATATCCATGTAAGTTGATGTGGGACAGTAAAGTTTCGAACTCTGTTTAACTGTTTTTCTTCGAGATTTTCCTCTCTCTCTCTCTCTCTCTCTCTCTCTCTCTCTCTTTTAAATCTCTGGTGTTCAGCCTCTTCAGTTTTCAAATGGGAATGTGTGATATGTTTCACCTTTTATCCTTTTATATTCTTATTTTATTTAAAAATTATGATTTTGTTCTCCATTTTGTTTTTAATAGCTTACTCCCCTACAGACTAAAGTAATCCTTTTTACATTTGTAATTTTATTTAAAAACTTTATGCTTTTTTTCTCCCTTTTGTATTTGGTGGCCTACATCCATGCCGACTAAAGTTATAACGTGCTTTTCCAACCAATTCTTTTCATGTTTTCAGACTGAAACTTAAGGTTAAATCTTCGGAAAAGATTATATGCAAGAGTGTTACTCATGAATGATATCCTAAAAAGTATGTAAATTTTCTCTAAAAGAGTTCAAGAAACTCATGATAAGTAGAGTGGAAAATCAGCTTGAGCATTGTCTTAATGGATAGAGTATTAATAATTTAATATTGCTCAAACTCATTAAAGTATAAAGTGAGTGAGGGATAAAAGCCATTTTGTACAGGAAGTCAAGTCTCCTTTACAATTCCTAGTGCTAAGGTTGAAGTACTTCTTAATCTCTTTGTAATGAGCAATGTTACTCCATTTCTCAACCTTTCACCTTGAATAGAATTGGATTCTTAAGGGTCCAAGATTTATCAAAGTATTTATATGTCCCTAAAAGTAAGTCTCAACAAATTGCATGTATTGCCCAATCACACTTTGATGTATTACATTTCTAATGAGATATGTCTAAGGATGAGGGCATTGTGAACTACTTTCTTTGTCTCAATTAGCCTTAACCAATTTTATCTAGGTGTATAGATTAAGGAGAGATGGGGTTTTGATGAGAAAAGTACATAAAAGTGGTAGTTTTAACTATTTTATCTAAATGAGTATGTGGGGGCAATTTTATTTGAATATAGGGTAAGAAAAATACTCGTATTATATTGGTGGACCCAATATGATTAAGGAAATGGGAAAGAACCTGTATGATATTGGTGACCTAATTGTATTTGGAATATTAAGAAATTTTTCTTTCCTTTCTTTTTTCTTCCAAATTATCCCCTCTTCCCGTCTGTTATTAATATGGAACCAAAGAATTGCTTCATGTAGTGGATCCATTCATGGAGGAGTTCTATGATTTGCTGAATTGTAACATTGTGGTACAAATTCATTTCATGGTACTCCACCCATTATATCAAGTCTTCTCATTAGATCATTTATACCATGAGTTGGTATTAAATGTCTTGTAGTTTGAAAACCGATAGATTAATTTATTTGTAATTAATCAATGCCTACTAAAACAAGTCTTTGGGTGTAGCTTAGGAATGCTACGCTCTAAAACTTGTTATAGTGTGCTAAGCTTGATAAATTTAAAGTTGGAGGTTGGGATGTGTTATGCGCATAAATGCACGCTATGGATTTATAGAGATTAAAGTAAAGCGCATAAAGGCGCTCTTTGAATGAGCTTTGCCAACTTCCAAAAATGTTGTCCACTTTTATAGATTGGCCGACATTAATTTTGTTTCTATTTTCATTATTTTATCTTTCAAATGGATCTTTACTATCTCCTTTTGGAAATGATCAAGGTTATAGCTATCATAGCCCATTACACGATTCGTGTGGTGTGCTTTTGTCTATTGGCAACAAGGGCGCAAGCCAAGAAATGAGACGAGGAGCAACACAGTCTAGCGCCAAGCTTGATGAGCACTCTTGCCTTTTCGCGACAAGCAGTATTCGCATCGATGCGGCTTGACAACCAAGGTCAAGGGGGGCACAAGTGAGTTCGAGCTTTATTTGTTTCAAGGTCTGTTCGGGATGCTTTAAAACATGTGGTGGCACAGTTGGTACATAGCTTTCACATATTTTGATTCTTTCACCTCTCATACATGAAAAATAGGTTTCTTTGAATGATGAGAGGGAATTTATATAATTTTCGACAAATTCTTCCACAACAAATCACTTCACGACAAATACCTCCACCAAATTTCCAAGATCACGATTTTTCCTCACAAAGTAGCGTGTCAATTGTTACTTGATGAAGATGAGACGTTCCTAACTTTAGCAATGGAGTTGATATTGTCTCATCAGCTATCCCTACAAGCCCACACCACCACCACCACCACCATATTAACAACAAAATGTGCATCATCCAAGTAGAGCTAATTAAAGAGAGAGGGTAAAGCTCTTATACCTAGCTACAAACAAAGTGTTTATCTCCTATGAGTCTTACACTCCTCCCATGCACCTCAGGTATCAAAGTGGCACCTCTTGAATTACCATCATTGGAAAAAGCATCATGCATCATGGGGAGTAGAGCCTTTGCCTCTTTAAAAAGCACACTATCAAATGGGTTTGTTACCATGAAGAGAATGTGGATGCATTCGAGCGGGTAGAATAGTGAAGTGACAATTTGGACTTTGCATATCATTTTTTTGGTTGCCCGTAAAACAAAATATTGTACACAAAAATGTTTGGGAAATCTCGGTGCATTTTTCTATTGAAAAGGAACTTTGGGATTGGTTCAAAGTGGTTGTTTCAAAGTGGTTGTTGCGGCAAAAAAGGTAAGAGGATGAAGATGATGTGAACGTAGTAACCATTGGTACTCATGACTTTGGTGGTATACCTTCTTCTAGTGGTTTGAAGAAAGCTAAGGCTTCGAAACAAAGAGGCAATAGAGGGTTATCATCAACACTAGTACAAATTGCTATAAATTTGGGTGAGATTCTTAAAACAATATTGATGTGAGAGGTTATGGGATGAACCTATGAAAGAGGGGAAAAGCAAATCCAATTGGATGGAAAAAATGTTTAATTTGAAGATGAGTAAAGTTGGAATCAATGAAGGTTAAGTGAGATATGCTACAATCCTATCTCACAAAGAAGAATTAAGAGGTTTTGGTCATTCAACCTTTATTTTGTTTTACTATATCATATTTAATTTAGTTTCATGTTTGTTGATTTATAATTTTAGGTTCCAAAGCTATAATAGTTGCAAATGAATTATTATACTTTATTATTATTGTTATTGTTATTGTTATTATTGTTGTTACGTTAAATGCTATGCTTTTAAAATGTTTTAGTAGTATTACTTTCTAATTATGGATCGTATTTTTAATCCATGTAAGTTATATGTTGTTTCATTAACAAGTGTTGTTCTCTTGATGAATAATTAAGGAAAAATTGACATTACTAATCCCAAATATAGACATTCTTCTTTAAACGGTCCCAACTATTGATCAATTCATGACATTCCCAACTTTAGGGGTGTTCTTATTAGAACAATCCCTAACTTACAATGATCGGGTAAACAAGTAGAAATTGTCACGTGTAAAGTAACACGAAGATGGTGTAATAAGAGGGGTGGGTGTTTAGAGTGGTGGAGGATTGATTTTTCTAATTACGCTTAACGAAAACAAGACACGTGACGCTATTAACCGGTTAATAATATGTTAAGGACTATTTTGAGAAAGACCTCTCAAAAGTTAGAATCGCTTCGAGTTAATCAATAGTTGGGACATTTTAAAGAAAACCGGTCATAGTTGGGACTCATGGTGTCAATTTATCCATATTAAAGCTTGTAATTAATTTATTGTGAAAGGATATTTTGTTTTTGATTCCATCATATTATTTAATTTGCTCGTGTTCAGCTTTTTAAAATTTACTTATTATTATAGTTGGTTTTTAAATTATTCTAGAACTTCAATACAATGTAATCTTTATACTACATATATGATTGTGTATTTGTGAATAAGTTTTGTAAAAAACCTAATTATCTTTGATGAAAAAATGTTAACTAGGTTAAAAAAACAATTAGAGTTTAAATATTATAGTAATTCGTTTATATAAATACGCAATTGGATCTCATAATTAGCTAACTAACATTATGTTTTGTTCATTACTTATTTCAGATCATACTTTATTGTTTATGTGTTATTTTTTTTGTAATGTTAAATACGTAGTATTAAATTCTTTATTAAAAATAAATTATGAAAATTATATATTTGGAAAATGCACATTAATGCAAATCTAACAAGACTTCATTTGATATATATATATACACACACACACATCTCTGTTCCTGAAGTTCGACTTATTTACTATTCATGTGGTCAAATAAAATAACTTTGACCACATTTTATGATTTATAAAATCAAAATAAATTAACAAGTTTGGTCTTATTAGATTCCCCAACTCGTAAATTTTTTAAATATCAACTTTTAAAAAAAATTACTTATACATAGCCGAAGTTATTAATGGTCAAAGATGTTCATTGGAGACCGTGCAAATGCAAAGTGAGTTGAACTTTCAGTAACAGAGGGAGTATATATATATATATTTATTAGGAAAAATAAGTTTTAATCACGTAAAAAAAAAAAAAGGTGAACTAAACATAGCCTAAATGTAGTCATAATTATTTTGTTTTTAATTTATTTGTTCTATTCGCTTTATAGCCTTTTTATTTTTTATTTTTCCTACTCATTATCTTTACCAACTTACCTTTCTTTGCAATATTACACCTTTGTACACTATATTTACCACTCTTTCTTAAACCTAACCATCCTTTTTGCACTCTCATTCTTACTTTGTCTTACACCTTTAACCTTTTTGTAATTTGCACTAGCTCTTGCATTTTCTTACACCTATAATGAGGGGTTCTAAAAAAAATGAGGTATAACATATAATACCTTTTTTAAAAGTTGGCTATATACCATTGGAAATTATGGTTCTACTCCTCTCAATTCATAAATAGTCTTGTAGAAAGCTCATGTGTGATTGATGGTTGCCCATGTAATTTCATAATCTTAGTGTGATGTGCTGTGAAGTTGCAATTTTGTAAAGCAATCGCTTGTCTTGCCCTTTTGCTAGAGCATGTACCCCAGGCTTCATTACAACACAATGTTGTATTTGATCTCTATGTTAATGGAATTTCATTCTTGTTCTTTTGCTTTAGTCTAAACAAAACTTATACACTGATATTGGGTACACTTAGAAGTGGTCTTTGAGGATTCAGTATTGCTTTGGTGAAATGCAGTGATAATAAATTGATGATCTTGTGGTGTGCTTAGCTAGGAAGAAATGGTGTTTTTTGCTAGAAAGAAATGATCGTACTTTTAAGGATGTTTCCACTCCTCCATATTAATTTAATTGTCTTAGGAAGGTTTTACAACACATGGTTTGTGTGTAGAAAACTTCCATTTTGAGTAAGAGGATATGGACATCCTAAAAAAGATTACATGGAGATTAGGAAGATTATTGTGAACTAAGGAGTACCAAAGTTTCTTCAATTTAATTCTTACTCAGTCTTTAATTGACAGATTCAAGCAAAAGCCCTTTATTTATTACATGAATGTTAATGATATTACCCCAAAATGAAAGGCCCTAATTATTAGATACCCTAGTTCGCGATTGGGAAGTAAATTGACAGATTTTGGTGGTGGTTGGTATTATGTCTGTGAGACTAACTGGTGGTTTCTGGCATCAGATCGGTGGTCGTCATTGGTAAATAAGTTTCACGTCTGTTCTCTCACTCTCTTCGATCTACTCTTTTCTTCCAAACTTTTTTTGCCTTCAGTCCTCTTTTTTCTTCATTCTTCTCGATTCGGAAGCTTCTTTTTTATAAATTTATGGTCCTCTAAGTTTACCTAGAGAAATGTGATCCCTATAAACCGCCTTTTTTTTTTATGATGAAAAGCCATCAGACAACTGTTAAATTTTAGGATGAAATATGGTGGGATGGGGTCAAGATAAATTTTTTGTGGTATGCAATAAAAGCTCAAAATGAATATTGGCTACTGATCTTCCGTTCTGCTACTGACTTATTCCCCAGTGGAAGAAAAGATGATGAAGCAGAACAGATTAGTGGTTGATGTATATACAAGTATTTGTCTCAATCCTCAAAATTCTGGCTTAGAATTTGAATTAAAACTTTGACTTCTGGATTGTGTCTTGTGCTTAATGCTGGGTATGCTTCCTCAGTTCTGGCTTTTCTTCCTATTACTGTATATTCCCCTCCCCCTCCCTATGTCACTAACATTTACGTTAGTAGACCATCTATGTTCCCACTTGTGGGATACTTGCTCTCTATCACCATCTAACTTCATCGAAAGGATGATTCTTTTACCTCATGCTTCTGCTGTGCTAGTGTTATTAATGGAGTAAAGGCTCTGGAACATTAATATTCTTGGGTTTTAGAGGTACCAAGGTAGGGTGAAAAAGATTAAATGTTTCAGTGTATGAGATTCTGATCAGGATTTTCTAACTGTTTGTTTTCTAATTATTTGGGTACAGCAGGACTTTGAAGACATGAGATCGGGGTATATACACTTTTCTGATAAACAAAGAATTGGGAATGGGGAAGTTCCATCTCTGGTTGATTTATGTGTTCAGACAGCAATAGATAACATTAGATACATTGGTAATGTTGCTCCATTAGATTCACATCTTCTAGAGCGCATCTTGCCCCATTGTACAGTGGAGCAGTTGATGCATATTGAAAATGCTACAGTTGTAAGTTGAACCATCTCTTTGACCTTTGTGCATTACATATCTTTACTCTATTTTATCTGAAGTCTTATATTGTTTTGAACTTATTGTAGGAGAGGGATCTTAGTCCAATTACTGATAAACTTTGGAAGAAATTTTATGAGGCAAAATTTTTTGCTGAGAGTGTTAAAGTTGTAGAGGCGAGGATGAAAAAGTATAATGTGACATTTAATTGGAGACAACTGTATCAGGTATTAGACAATCATCTGGTGTGCTTTATCATGCGGACGCTTTATTTTCTATTACTTGCTACTACGTTTGGTTTACCCCTTTTGGAAAAGGCTTTATGTGTGGTCTTGTGTAATCAATCTAAATGCTTGAATGCTACTTGTTTATTGTTCAGTTTTAATCAAGGCTTTTCCTTGCAGGCGAAATTGAAGGAAGTAAACGAGGCTGTAAATGTAACAGTAGAGCGACTAGCACAAAGATTAAAGAATGAAAGTGCCCGTAAGTCTCCTCTAATACTCAAGCTATTCATTTTGCTTATTTATTCTATATGGAGGTGTTAGCTCAAAGGGGTTTTCTGAATTTATTTATTTAATTTTATTTTTTACTGTAGGAAAGCAAAGTCGTCAAATCCAGTTTTGTGCAAAGGTTCCCCCCTCGTCTAAGAGACGGACTTTTTGTGGAGGTATCTTTTGTGGGGCTCAAAATGATCATGCGACTCTTATAGTCTACTCTTGTCTATTCTCTTACCATATGATATGATGCTTACATGTAGCATTTGGAGAATCAAGCGCCTATTCCAATGCAAAGAGCAGCATTTTGAAGAAGGCAAAAGCTGAACACTTTAACAGGTATTTATCTAAAAAATTGAATGCATTTCTCTCTTACAATACTTCAAAAGAAAAAAAAAAAAAAAAAAAAAATCACGTTTTGCCAATTATTTTTGGTGATGATGATGCACTTTCTGTTGTCCTTTCTACGAAGTATATAGAGCTGTTTGTCAACTTTCTAAAAACTACACTTGCCTTCTGTTATAAAATATTCCTTGGGCGGTGGGTCTCTCCAAAATAGTACAGTATCAATTTTGTAGTATCTGACTAGTTGGGGAAAAGCTACATACATGTGCACCTCCCCAAACTCTATCTCAACAGGATGGAATTTTTTTGTTTTTCTCTCTCTTTTTAAAAAAAAAAAATATATATTTATTGAATTCAGTACTATACAGCTTATGAAGAAATTTAGCATCTGTGTGATCATTTCTAACCTGAATGTGAGCAGAGCTATCTAAATCCTACATTATTTACCAAACTTTTAGACAATATGTTTATTTGCGGTTTGGACAAGTTTAGTTTATCAAGTTGTTTAGAAATGGCTACATTGTTTCAGTATCCTCATGTCAAATCTGCTTACCCTGTACCCTCATTGGTAATTGGCATGCTCTACTTCAAAAAGCTTCAGGAATTATTAACTTGGCATTTCTCAAAAACCCCTATGGTTTGACATTTTGCTGTCTTCTGTGGCTTCTCTAACAGTGCAGAGATGAAGAACCGGGCAGCTATACGAAAAGGAGCTGTACAGCAACCAAGAAGTAACAGGTATGTTGACTCCACCAATGTTCGTTACCCTTCCAAGTACATAATTTGATCTTGTGTTCTTGTGATTTTAGTATCTCGAGGCCTCAAATTGCTCGAGGGATGGGCTCTACTTCAAATTCATATTCAAAAGGGACTAAGTAAGCTGATTAATTGGGGAAGTGATGAACGTACAAGCGATGCCTTCCCGCCTCTGCCAAGCATGTACCAAGAACGTTAACGTTCAAACAACTTTGACTGAGGTGATCTTATTCTACTTCCGGCACTGCCAAATCTGAGCAGGACTTGTCTCTTTTTCTGTATATCCGCATAGGCACATAGTAGTAATCTGCGCTGTGCAGTTCTGTATTATGTACAACATTTTTAATCTGGACCATTTACCCTTAGTGATGGAATAATCAATCCAGCATAACCTGAAGCCTTGAGCTACTTCTGGCTGATCAATTTTTAGGATTATTTTCCATATCTTGTTCATTGAATTTGTGGTGTTTTATTTGTGGATCACAAGATCTCCACACTTTTGAATTTATATACTTATTTTAAACTAGCGAGAGTTAATGGTGTGTATTCTTATATATCATCTGCAGAATTGTCAAGGGGTTTTGTGTGATCCCTCTGCAAGTTTTGGAACAATTGTTACATTTATGGAAAATTTGTTAGAAAAAACCTTTTAAAGTAACTTTTTTTTGTTCAAAAAAACCTTTTAAAAATTTCTTAGCAAAATAAAACCTGATTGCAAAATTTTGTTGTTGAAGAGAAGCAAAGGCTATTTTCCGATGTTGACTATATTATATCTGGCATTGACTCCCTATGTGACATGCACATGGTCATTTTAACTAAATCCTACCCGCTTTTCTTATTATTTCCCTCTAAATTCCTTTATTTATTTATTTATTTATTTATTTTTGTATTATTATTATTTAACAACTTAATTAATTCATAAATTTAAAAACTACCACCAGTTACCCCTCCCTCCCCCTCCCCCTCCCCCATCCCACCTGCCGCCCATAACTCCCCACCGCTGGCGAGCTACCCTCTATCGCTGTCCGACCCACTTTACATCGCTCACTCCGTACCTTATCTTCACTCTCACCCCTCTTCTTTCTCCCTAAATTTCAACACCACCCAAAATTGAAATAAAATCAAAATCAAGCCATTGTAACCTATTGAGTTTGTTTTTCAATGGCGGCCAAGAAAGAGGAGAGAGAATTTGAACCCACAACTGCCCAGTCGCTTGAACCCCCTCTCGCTTTTCGCTGTGAGTGCTGCCAAGACTTTCACTGCGACCCTCGATCGAATTAAGCTTTATTGTTTCATGTTTGGAAATTTGGGATTTTTGGCAAGAAATAGTACCCAACTTGAGAATTTTGGTTCAATTTTCTAGAATTTTGTTCTATAATATAGATTTTAATCATATTCAATATCACAGACTCCAAGTGGACATAGCTCGCCGGGGGTGGAGAGATCTGGGTGGAGGGTGGGATGGGGAGGGGGAGGAGGGGGCTGTCTAGTGGTGGTGGTGGTTGTGGTTTTTTTAATTATAAATTTATTTAATTATTATTTAATTAAGTGAGTTAGAGGGTAATTAGTAAAAATGGGGTGGGAATAGGAAAAAAAAAATAACATATGCATGTGAGAGTCAACGTCGGAAAGTAGCCTTTGGTTGTCTTCAACAAAAATTTTTACAATCAGTTTTTATTTTGCCAAGAAATTTTTAAAAGGTTTTTCTGAACAAAAATGTTGCTTTAAAAGGTTTTTTCTAACAAATTTTCCTACGATTATTGCTCATTTGTGGAGGTATTATGTGTCGTTTATACTTTGTACGCGTTTGTTACTTTGCCTTGCACATAATTCATGAACACATCTAACGTTATTCGTTTTGGAGGTGCATTTTCAGTGCCTGGTTTAAATCCGACGTTATATAGTTTCATCACTCATTGGGCTAGGAAACTGAATCTGTTTTACTGTATAATATCACCAGGCCTTATTGCCGATTACTACTTTCAGAGACTAGTTATGGTATGTGTCAATGCCCATAAATTTTAGATATTTTTACTTGACGAAAAACTCAGTTTTAGTAAAATTTGTGTATCTACAAATTGTCCAATCCCTATACATCTCTTATTTAAAATGTCCAATATTTACTAGGAGTTGTGAGAATTTGAGAAGAGTTTGAGTTCTACAAAAACCAAGCGGACAAATATGCATAACTTGGGACTCAAGTACATCCCAAATAGTTGGGATTATTAGTATAACTAGCTATTGACTTAGGCGATATCTCAGGTTGTTTTTTAAAGTGCAAGATCATCGCTACCCACCTGTCCACAGTTTTACTCAAAAAAAAAATAAAAAATAAAAAATAAAAAAATGCATGATTTGAATAACTAAAGAGAGACTAAGCAAAAATTTGTTCTCATAAGTTGTTAAAATGTGTATTTGAGCATTAAAAGTTTACACATTTATACCAACGCCTTTTCTCTGTTATAATTGTTTATATGATTCATAAGTTCAAGGAGCATGATATGAGGTTGTTAACAAATGTGAGTGCTGAAATAGTGATCAAGTTTTTCACTCTAGACGGTGCACAGATGAATATTTGTAGCCATTATGTTCATGATAATATAATCTCTTCAGCATGAATGTCTCAGAATGCTTTTGGTAGTACATGATTAATAAGGTCAGTAAAGAACTGAGGTATTCAATCACTTATTTTTTTGGCTGATGATTTTTGTATTTGCTCTTCAAAGCTACTCCAACATTAAGTTCTAGCGAGTTCGAATTCAATCCTCTGAATGAAATGTCTGCATTCGTAAGAGCATAATTGGGATTCTAAGACTGCCAACTGATATATGGTAGCGAAAAAAGGATCCATATTTGTTACTTACTGGACAAATTAAAAACACACTCCAAAATTCCAAATCAATCTTACACAATTTTTTTTTTTTTTTTAAAAAAAAGCAAAATAATAAAAGTAAAATAACTTAACCCCTGCAACAATTTATTTTGTAACATTACCCAAAAAAAAAAAAAAACCTTAGTTACAGTTCCCTGCCGGGGGAGGGGAGGGGTGGTGGTGATTTGATTAAAGCTTATTTCCTAAATGTCGAGTCTTGCTGTCCCCATAACCTTATTATATAAAAACAAGATAGAAACTGTTTTCTCCATTTATTTCCTATCAGAGTGGAATGTTTTTTCTTCAAGGTCCAGATCCTGACAGTCTCCGCCTTGTTGCATTTGAAACCGAGACCTGACTAAGCTTGTCTGCCCCAGATGAATCCATACGATCTTTCAAGGGCAAGTAATGTCTTAACCATACTCCAGTGTATACCTGAAAATTAAAGCAGTTTGAATAAATTTTCTGGACAAATTTGAGACAAACAAAACAACCACAAAGCCTAATGTGTTTAAACTTCAAATACATATACAAAATTCATGAGAAGAGGAGAAAAGGAAAACAATTAGTTTTTTAGAACTTCTGTTCTATTGGATTGGATAGGTAAAAGACGGGAAGTTTTTGAATTGGGAATGCTTCTGGGATTTCACAACACCTCATGCATTAAGAATGTTTTACAAAAATGTCAGTCTAATCTAATATTATTATTTTTGTAAATCCACATTCACATCATACCTTTTTTTTTTTTTTACTCCCCTAGGAAATTATTTTTCACATATACTACATTGGTGTTTCAAATATTGTCACATAAGTATGAATGTAACCAAATATAGCTCCATTTAATAGATTGGTGGAGTGATAATGGAAAGGAAACTGCTCATTTTATAAGGAAATTATAGTAGTCACAGAAATTTTTAACTATGAGAGGGGTTTGGGACGATAAACTTTTTGAAATTAATAGAACACAGAGCCTAGGTAAGCTAAAGTTGATCACTCTACAGCTACGCCCTACAGGCCTACAACATTACGAGATTTCACTAGTAGCTATGATATGATCATATCAATCAGAGAAAATGCTATAAGATGTAATTTCAAATTGCAAAGTTACAATAAATGGAACAAAAACATGGGCCACTGCAACTGTACCAGATACAGTGTACATTATGATCTCTAACCAAACATCAATTACTGTGTCTCACCAATAATTGCAGCTTAGTCTAGGAAGTTATGAGGATAACTAACTCAGAACAATGATCACTCTAGAGACCTTAAGGGATATCATTATTTTTTATTTTAATTTTTTTTTAATATTAATTCACTTTTCAATTTTGGCGATTATGAAATAGTTGCAGCACTATTATTTAACCTTAGACAGTAGCTATTATTAGCATTCAAAATAGGCAAGGTTACAACCTCATCCTCACTAAAAATTTTAACACAATCAATTATTTCTCAACCCCTCCAAATATTCATTATCAGAATTTAATAATACCCTTGAGCCCCTTTGCTCCTCTCCAGCCCACCACTATCATCATCTTCCTCAAATTGACTCCGCCATTTGCAGCATCTTTTGGCTACTTCCACTACCAATGTCATCCTCTCCATCCACAAGCATTTGCCGACCCCAACTTTCACCTTCTTCAAAACCCCATCTCAAACACCCTAGCAGGGGCCCACCATCAGTAACTACCATCAACAGCAGTGGAAAATCAGGCACCACCAAGTGCTAGAAATCAGACAATTCTTCTCTCTCTCTCTCTCTCTCTCTCGACCTCCTCTTTCTCAATAGATCTTCTTCTCTCTCCACTCAATCTAAATTAGCTTTCTTGATTACATTGTCTGTATGTACTCTTGGTCTCCTACATTCAATCTTCTTTCTCTTACTTGAAGCTTTATCTCTCAATATGCCAATGTGGATGTAGTGGGTTTAAGGGTTTGTGGTGATTATTATTAGTGGGTTGGTGGTTGTTGTATGTTGTGGCTTATTAGTGGTTGGTGAACGTGGATGTGGTAGTAGAGGGATATTGAGGTATCAGTAGTAGTGGGGCTGAGGTTGGTGGGGACAACATGGTTCTGGCAGTGGTGGATTTGTGGTTCAAGGCAGTGGCATCAGCCCAATTTAGTGGGTTAAAGTAGGATGGTGGAGACAGGTGGTGGGACATTGGACAGCAGAGATGGAGCAGTTGTTAATCATATGGGTAAGTGGGTAACATTTTTGGAACAAAATTAGTTATGGAGCAATTAAAATTGCATAAAATCTTATGTTGTGATCGTTGATTAAAAGTTAATCATATAGATGTAAAAACACAAGGGGCAGTAGTTATTTAGCCAGAATGAATATGATAATGCATTAAATAGAGATATAATTGAAATTATAAAATAATTACTGTAAATCTTTCGTGAGCCTTCAATTGCAAGCCCTTTGACCATCAAAGATCTCACAAATTTAAACATGCATGAACGCTTAAGTGTTTCAAAATCGAACCTGTTGGGGTCGCATTATCTTTGTATCAGGATCATCAAGTGACTCCCTCCAGTGGGCCAAATACCCAGCCATTCGAGGGATTGCAAACAAAACAGGGAAAAACTCGGTTGGGAAGCCCATTGCCCTGGTTGGGAAAAAAATTAAAATAAATCAACTTACAATGTAATAAGATTATAATTACATACATGAAACTAACTCTGCACAGAAAATCACCTGTAGATTAACCCAGAGTAAAAATCAACATTTGGGTACAACTTCCTCTTTATGAAAAACTCATCTGATAGGGCAGCTTTCTCCAAAGCAACAGCCACCTGCAAAATATTCATAATTTCAAATTGAGCAGCTATGATCTTTTCAAAACTTATTCTTTAAATTTCTACCAAATCTCATGGTTCATCAACCAAAGGTAAAGAAAGATGACAGCAATTCATTTTCGTTTTTTTTTCTGGCAGAAATTACTGTATTTGATGTTGGAAGTGAATTTTTCTTCATATACATCTCTAATGTAATCTTTTAAACCCTGGATAATTTGCTAACATACAAGTCATTATTATTCATGTCTAGAATGGGGCTAGATAAAGGAGGAAGTGGATGAAATAACAAGTTAGAACAAAGTACCTCAATGAGGGGATCTCTTCCAACTATGGAGAATACTTCCTCTGCCAACGTCCTAATAACCTTTGCTCTGGGATCATAATTTTTATACACACGATGCCCAAATCCGGACATTTTCCGTTTCCTTCAAAGATGCAAAAATGACAGTTTTATTAGTCCAACTTTTGTTTGTTACTTTGTAAGCAATACCCATACATAATGATATGACAAATACAGAGCAAATTACCTATTTTTGACTCCCTCGATAAAGTCTGGTATGTTTTCAACACTTCCAATTTCATTCAGCATTTTGAGCACAGCCTAAGTTCCAAAAAGAAAAGGTGAACTCATAAAACACCTTAATAGAACACTTATGATGAATTCAGTCACCAGAGAGATGCATGGACAAAGTTCCATGCCACAATCTACTTAACTTTTACATTATAGACCTACCAGAATTAAGAGAGAAATCTTAAATGCATATTACCTCATTTGCACCCCCATGAAGAGGACCATAGAGTGCCCCAACAGCACCAGCAAGAGCTGTGTACACATCAACACCACTGCATGTACAATACCAGATCAATACTTGAAATGTATTATAACAAAACCATCTGAACTACTTGTTTCCCTAATATATCATATACCTTGATGCTAAATGTCGGGCAGCAGCGGTAGAGCAATTCATTTCATGCTCAGCATGTAGTATGAAAAGAACATCTAGAACTCGGGCTAAACGAGGATTTGGTTTGTAAGCCCTATCACCTCTGCATGCAGTAAAGGAAACATCAATATTTAAAAGTAACATTCACATCACTATTGAATCAATAAAAGACCACACATGAACAGGTAGCACAGAAAACACAAATAATTAACCCTTGGTGATCTAAGAAGTTTGTAAACAGAACATACAAAGAATCAAGCATGTAAAGGAAGTTCTCTGAATATGAAAGGTTGTTGGAAGGAAGAACTGGAGGCCGTCCAGCCAATCTCAAATAAGCTGCAGCTGCAATCGTTGGAGCCTGTAAAAATATTAAAATAAATCTTAAGGGATGAGACATCAAACTAGAAGATTTTAATGTTTCAGTTTCAATGGAAATTGTGACAGCCAATTTTAAAGAAAAGCGATTTTCCAACAAGAAAAGATAAAATGAAGTTTCTGTTACATATTACTACCCTATTTCCTAAACAATTACATTAATTCACCACATACGTTGTCCCCAAACCAATAACAAGAGGACATGGGTTGAAGGATGATAATAGTCCCACTTTTAGCATTACCCTTTTCCTAAGATATTAAATTATATATAATCATGTATATATGGCTTTGAACAATTGAACATGACTGTGGTGAAAGCTAAAGAAGATGATGTTAGTAAGGATGATTTTGTAAACACATTCTATAATGGAGCAAGTAAACAAAAACATAATGCATTGTTCAATAAATGCTTCATTGCTAGACCACCTTGTTTTAGAATTCTTAAATCTTTTGGATAAGACTATTAAGTGCAGAAATTGTGATACTGACCTTCCCAAGTATTCTGACTATCTGTTTATCTCTCACTTGCTTTGACTTGTAAAGATCCTGACCCTGCAAAAAAAACAGAATAGATCATGAAGAGCTGACAAGTACTTTGAGGCCACTAAAAGACAAATTCATAGCATATGAATAACCATACTCCTGATATCATATCTTAAGATGAAAGTGTGATGTAGATAAATTCACGAAGGAGAACTTTCACCAAAATAGTTGTACTTCTCATCACTATAGAAAGTTAGACCCCCCATGATAAATTGTTTATAAAAGATTTATAGGTTGAAAGGCAGCAGAATCAACCAGGAAAATCAAGCATTATCACTAAACTGCTTTAATGATAAAAGTGGGTCCGTTCAGTTTTATATCTCACAGGAGCATGGCCAAAAGTTGAATCCATTACATCCCTCAATTGCTCAAGCATATATTGTTTCAATGGTGCAGATAGCTGGTAGGGATAGATTTTGAAAGAGGAATTTTCTAAAAAAAGAAAAGACCAGACAAACCAGCACTGCTCAAACAACATCACATGGGAACTAGACAGACTACAGAACTCATCACACATTCACACATTGTTGGAGAATAGGCAAATGGCCAGCGCATAACCAGTTTTAACAGTGTAACCAGTAGGTAACAGCGATAGATTTCAAAGAGAATTATTCCTTCTCTACAAAGATAGCACTCATAGCAGCATAAACCACATAAGTAGTTCATAAACATGATGGAGTGATGTTAGAAATTACAACATTAATACCAACTCCTCCCATCATCTCTTTTAAACTTTTATCAGATTTCCACCAACCCCCGACCACCCCCAACCCCCCCAAAAAAAAAAAAAAAATTAAAATCAATGCCTCTTATTGTAATGCGTTAAGTGTCCCTATATTCCTAGATTCGTGGCAACTGGAAAATGTGATTACATGCGATACATTTCTTTCAACAAGGCAACACACAACAGTAAGGAAATATCGTTACTGAACATAATGACGTGCCAAATATAAAATAAACAAAATCACAGAAATAGGTTTGAACAGCAAGGAGCATTACATTGCTAGGATGATAGAGGTATGCTGCTTTTCTCCCATACATTATACAGGATAGAACATACGATAAAAGAGTAAACTTTAAAAATATATACTTACTCTCAAAGCAGGATTAGCGTCAGGGTGAAAGACAGAAAGAGTACTCATTGCACTAACAAGAACACCCATTGGGTGTGCATCATGAGGCATTCCCTGTATGATATCCTACAAAATGATTGAAAATTTTCAGAATATAAATCCATATCTTGCATTAACTCATAACATTATCCATGTTAGTTGGAACTTGGTTTAGAAACAATTTCAACAGGCTTTAATTAAAAGGACAGGGTGCAAGGAATTAAGGAAAACTATTATTTTGTAGTCCAAGAAGTTCAAAGACACACCAATGCGCCCTGAGGAACAGCTGAATGCTGGGACACAGCAAATTCCCATTCTGACAACTGACTTTTAGAGGGTAGATTTCCATACACTGCAGTGTGAAACGCAATTATATTTAAAGAACAACTTAGCAGGTAAAACAGAAAGCATTCTAGACAAAAATGAAGCACATCAAAGTCAGGTGGCCATTTTAATCTATAATCACTCCAGCACGTCCATAACTAAATGATAATATATTCAGTTTTCGCCAGTTAACTGGTAGCACATATACAAGCATCAAACAAAATAAGAACATTGTCTTAATGAGAACTAGAATATGATGGTTTATACATATTCTTTCTAAAATTCTTTTCTTTTAATAAACAAGCACTTGCCCCAGGTAATACTTGAGAAAGTGTTTTATGTATCAATAGCAACTTACTCATCATGGCCACAACTTCAATTTAAACATAATAATATCTCACAATATCTATATCCACAATGGAAATTCCATATTGGATTGTCATTATTCTTTTATTGTTATGGTTCAGTAGAAATAACATTAATGGATGCTTGAGCAATTGAGGGATGTACGTTGAATCTATCCCTATCAGCTATCTGCAACATTGAAATAACATTAAAAATCAAGTTGAATCCATTACATCCCTCAATTGCTCAAGCATCATATCAGCATCACACACACATACACAAAAGCCTCATGATTACTTACTCAGAAGGTATGCTACTTCTAGAAATGAACTACCCTCAGCCAGCTCCTCAATAGGGTAGCCTCTATACCTAAGGATCCCTTCATCCCCATCAATATAGCAAATTGATGATCGAACAGGAGCAGTATTAAGATAACCAGGATCGTATAGTTTGAGTCCCTTGTCATTCTTTCCAGTTGTAATCTGTCACACACGAGAAAGAATCTCATACTTAAGTGAGCATGTAAAGAGTAATATAACAAGAAAAACTCCCACATTTATTAAAAGTGCAAAGAAGAACAAGATACATTAACTTAACTGATGTCAGTTCAGAGCTACACAATACAATATTTCAAGAAAACAGGAAAGTATTTCCACATAAGCTTGAAGCACACTTTTTAGGGTAACTGTCTTCTCTTAACAAAAAAAACACAAAACCACACACAAATTATAAAACATGGAGGCTATTGGTATCATTCATTATTTTGTATAGAATGACTCTAATCCTAATACGAATAGCTTAACACCCTCACACTTCCTTTTTCTTTTCTTCCCTAAAGCATCTCTACTTTTTACAGATGAATCGCTCCCTCCCATCTTTACATCAAATGGTGAATCTCTATTCGAAAATCCCACCATTGTGTTTTACAAAATAAATTCTTGTTTACCAATTCACTTCACTCGCTACGATGGCAATTTCTTAACAAAATTACACTTCTACAACATTCCCTTTCATCAATTTAACATGAAGATAAATCAGAAATTCCCTCACATAATTGTTATCAAATCTCTATTCTTCTCTCATCAATTTAACATAAAAATCACTTCAATTTTCCATCCAAATAATTCTTAACAAATTTCTATACTTCCTTCCTCGGCATCAATAATTCAATGCAATCCCTTCAAAACCAAGTTAAGACCAAATGAGCTTTGAAAAGAATCAATAAGACCTCCAAATGAAAAAAAAAAAAAAAAAAAAAAAAAAAAAAAAAAAACCCCAAAACAATGTCCATCAAATTTTAATTTCCCACTTCCAAATGTAAAAATCATCTAAAATTCCCCCACAAATTAACAAACCAAATCATAATAACCAAACATGCATCATTTTTCCGGGAAAATCACAAATCAATAAACACAAACCAAAAAATCACAGAAATTAACAAACCCACATCAAATATATCGAAATCCCAACAAAATTCAAGCAATATTAATAACAAAAATAAATAAATCAATGATAAAATGAAACCAAAAAAAAAACCATCATAGATTACCTTCTTCAAGTCAGTAGCTTTGACAGTGCCATCCTCAGAAACAGGAATTTGGTACTTTTTCCCAGTTCTATCATCAACAATTGTGATAGATCCCTTCAAATTAGGAGGTGGGGCAACAATAGATTGAGAAGAAACACAAGATAAATCAAGAACATTTGAGAAATTAAGCGGTGGATCAGCTGATGATGCTGTTGAAAGGTGAGTTGCAAGAACAGCTAATCTGCCTTGAGCTTTCCTGGAAAAATCTGTAGTCTCCATTTTTGTAGGTGAGATCATTCAGAATTATAATTCAAATTTAATCGATTTGATTAAAGATTGTCTTCTTTTATTGCAAAGTCTTTGTTTGATTGTTGTTCTCTTTCTTGTACGTCTAAAAATGGTTGGATTACGTTTTTCGAAAAAAACAAAGGTTAGAATGGGCTTTTAATAAGACTTCATTTAGTTTTGGAGCGGTCTAATTAGAGTTTTTGGTCTGACACTCTCACTAAATTTTAACCATACTCTATCCGTTTTAAAAAAATTTCTCATGTTTAACTTTTCGCACTATTTATATAATCCTCTTTCAACTAATACAATAACTTACAAAAAAAAAAAAAAAAAAACAAAAACAAATGAAGTCATGTGGTTACTTGTATCTTTTTAATGTATGATTTTTCAAATAATTACGAAGAATTAGTCAAAATTTATGTATTGATGTATATGTCTAGTTTAATTAAGGTAATTATTTTGAAATCGAGTAAGTTTTTTTTTTTAGGAGAAGTTTAAACACTACACCCTCCGACATCCGTCCTATTATTAAGTTAGGTCATGTTTAGTTCACATGTTAATTTGAGTTAAATATGTGAAATAACTAAATATTTGGCTAAGATGGTAAGACTTCTAGTTTAATTATCATTGTTCATGAATTCGAACACTATAAAAATTATTTTTATTCAAAAGAACAGAGCTTAACTATGGTGAATTTACATATTTGTCGTGGACATCTTTACAAAAGCCCACCATTCTGATACATTTTTTTTTGGTTTGGCACATCTAATTGACTCACGGGCGTTTTTTTTTTTTTTTCCATGATTATTCATTTTTTTTTCTTCATATAATTGACATTTAAATTGTCAAAAAATACTTTATTTTTCAATCAATTTGTAAATTATTATCGTACTTTTAATTTGTTAACCAATACCTTGAATTAAATTTTGTTTTAAAAATGACACCTTAATGACGGATTCCGACCAAAAAGTCAAGTTTCTAGTGTCTAACTTTTATATTCCCTCCATCTTTGTGCACGTGTGATGCACTCCATTGAATGAGAAGAGGATAGATTTAAGGTAGAAATAATTTGAAATTCATGTTTATACATTAGGTAGCTCTCACAAGTTCTATTGTGACCAAAATCAATGGAAAGATGTAAGTTAAACGCCTAAAACTTTATTTTTTTGGCCGGAGCACAGAGCAACTTTCTTTGCAAAGGTGGGCAAAAAAGGTCAATTTAAATCCAAATCAGCCAACCTCTCAAAATGTTGCTCAACTCAACGATTTCAAACTGCTAGTTTGAAGGCCAAACTACTAAATGAAGCCACTCTTACCAAATAGCCAAAGAGAAATTCTCAGGCTGTAGGAACTTTGGTCTTAATGGCCTCTAGGAAATAGTGGGTCCCACCCGTGTCAGCAGTCAACTAAGACTTGGCTTATAAAAAAAAAGAGAATCTTTAAAGAAAAAAAGAAAAAGAATAACAATAATGTGGGTCCTTAGTGTCATTCTTTGTCCCAAAATTTATTGTTTCTTCCGCCAAAAATTCATTGATAGCGGGAATTCTCTCAATCTTCTCCCCACTTCACAAAATTTTTTATACTCAAATTTTATAATTTTTTGCAAACAATAAAAATCAGCATAATAATTTGGTTTCCCATTGAATTCCTTATAAGTCATTGTTATGAGTTTTGTCCTTTTAAATTTAAGAACCAAAATTGGATTTTTGTCTTTAGAATTAATTATCTCAGATTTGGTAGGGGAAATTGGTGAAATAGTTCTGTGGTAGCTGCAATTGAACGAAGATGCTTTGTGTTGATGGTTGGAGCGGTGAAGGTCGTAGTCGGATTCAAGGGTGAAGCTAGAAATAAAAATTTAAGGGGGCCAGACTCGATAAAGTTAACCCAAAAAATTAAAAAACTCAAAAAATGATGGGTGAAAAAAATACGCTTATAGTGGGAGTCGAACTTGAGACCCCTCTCATCGTACAAAGCTCATATTACCAACTGAGCTATCATTGGCATCATAGAATTTAAGATAAATAATTGCTATTTCTTAGTAACTCCTGAGAGTAGACTACATAATACATATATCACCAGTTGGGCCACGGGAGGGGGGGGGGGGGGGGGGTGGGCCTCCACCCAGCCCCTAGCTCCGCCCCTGGTCGGATTGAAGAGGTTAGTGCACTTTATTTTTTATTTGATTCCACCTTTCTAATTTTTGGTTGAATTATTCTTATTAAGTAATGGAATTACTTGTGGAAGCATAAGCATTATTGAGTATTGTTGTTGAATACCAATTATTAGCTCGAAATTGTTGATATAAGTAGTGGAATTATTTGACTAATTACAAGCATTAATTAGTATTGTTGTTGAATAACAAATGTTGTAATGAATAGCATTAATTGGTGTTAATTTGTATTGTGGAATTAATGGTAGTTATATATTAGGATGGAATTAGAAATTATGTAGTTAATGAAGTATAGAGCATCTGCCGCACCTTTATAATTATGGAGGTTGTTCTATACTTCATTAACTACTGATTAATTGATTAAAATGTGTAGCATTATATACCAATAACTTATTAGTTGGTATTTGATATTAATACCATTTGTCAACTGAATTGTATTGTTCTGATATTGTGTTTATGATTGTTAAGATGTGCATACAAGGTGTATGTGAAAGTTAAATTGTTGTTCTTTAGAACACAGTATGAGACTTGCTATATGTTGTGATGATTAATATTATATTGTTAGTTAATTAATTGTATAGTTAAATTGTCCAGGAAATGTTGATGTTCAGGGAACGGCCATGGATCGAGATGTAGAGCAAATTGGTAGTTCTTGTTCAGATGATGATAGTTCAGGAGACAGTGATGTTTCTGATCAAGTAGGGGGTGATGGTATAGACTAAAAACATGTAGGGGGTGATGGTATAGACTTAAATCATGTACGAGGTGATGTTAATGACATGAATCATGTAGGGGGTGATGGGATTGACTTAAATCAGATTGCACAGGAAGGTGTTGGTGATGAAGGGGTGTTTGTGACTCCGGTGAGGAATGTCCCCTTGGTGAAATAAGTAGTATTGTAGTTATGGTAAGCAACAAGGGTTTAGGGTTGTTTGTGCTGGTGGTGGAAATAAGGTGAAAAAAGAATTAGGATAGTCTAAATCAATGGGTACCTATGTGTGGAAATGTGAGTGTTATGGAAGGACAAGGTATAGGAGGAGGGTGAATGGGAAGAGGATTGTCGTGCTTGATGAGCCGATAGTGAAGAAGAAATCGAAGAAATGGCAGTGCCCGGTAATGATCTATGCCAAAGTGAATAAGGCAGGACAATGGCAGCTGAACAAAGTTGTGAATAAGCACCAACGTCATACCCCTACCTCAGGAAAGTCAAAACATATTCCTATGTATAAGAAAGAAAATATAATAAAGCATATTGAATATAGGATTGAGAATGACCACGGGTCAGGTGCTCCAATTGGTCAAATTTTCCATAGCATGGCCAGCCAAAGGCACAGTGTTGAAAATATGGGGTTCAATAAGAAAGATATGCATAATTTGGTGAACAGGAAGAGGAAGCTGAAGTTGAAAAATAGGGATGTAGCGGCGATGCTAGAGTATTTTAGTAAAATGATCGATGACAATCAAAAATTTTACCATATGCATAGGCTATAGATGAATCTGGGAAACTGAAAGATATGATGTTGGTTGATGCTAGGAGCAGAGCAGCTTATCAGTACTTTGGTGATGTTGTGTGCTTTGATTCAACCTACCTCACAAATCAATATGAGTTGCCATTTTCTTTTTTGTTGGTGTGAATCACCATGGACAAACCATCCTATTAGGATATGCTTTAATGTCACATGAGAATGATGAGACTTTTGAATGGCTGTTTAGGCAATGGATTAAGTGTATGGGTGGGGAACCTCCAGCAGCGATCATGACAGATCAGGATGCTGCCATGAGTGTTAGGTTTTCAGTAATTCAAGACAATAAGAATTACTTAATATTATGGGAACAAAACCTAAACAGTGTATTATTAATATCAATTTATACAACAATCCAAATACTAACCAAAGTATTACAATCCAAGCACCAAATATACAATGTAATTCTGAAATTACAAAAGAAAACACTAATGTGAAAGATATTACACTTGCCTCAACTCCAACCTTTAGAAAACGAACATGAACATGAGAAATACAATGACCACTTGAGTCTCGATCCTTGATACACTGTCTTAGGTGTGTGAACACATTCCTAAAGAGTTTAATTTCCCCCACAACGGTGCTTGGGTTCAATCCGGAAATACTCTTTGAGATACAAAAGACAGCCAATTGTTCTTTGCACTAAGAAACGAATTGAAGATGACTAATTCACAAAATTGGATTAATTGGAAGAGATTTCTCACAAAAGTTTGCAAGAAGTTTTTGAGAGAAAATTGTGGAGAATTCCTTTTGAGAGATACCGATTAATTTCTTCTGTGTAAAAGCTTTTACGAAATCAAGCCTTTAATAAAGACTCAACCGTCAGGAAAACCGCAAAACAGGGTGGCGCGGGCGCTCCACCAAGAGGCGCGGGCGCTCCTCATCAGATATGCGAAATTTCCACAGGAAGGCAGAAGGGGGCGCGGTTTAGGCGCGACCAGCAGCGCGGGCACGCCACTAAGACGTCCGGCCGCGCCACCAGACGTGCGGGCGCGCCAACCTTACCCTTCCAAAGATCCAAATTCCAGAGAGGTACGCGATTTAGGCGCGCTCTCTGGGCGGCCACGCCAAACTTGCGCGGGCGCTCCTTCATGGTCGCGATCGTGCAACCATCAACACTCTAAATATTCAGCAATCCTCCCCCATTTAGAGTGTTCCTTAAAACATTCTCCACTTCTAACAATTAAACCACATCTCATGCATCAATGCCAATGTCCCTTCGGATTGAATTGACATCTAGTACAACACACTTAACGATGATCATATCCCATGATTTCCATACGGATTGAATCACACGGATATATCCAACCAGTTGAAGGTGAAGTACACACAAGACAAATCAAATTTATCATCACTTGACACTTTTATACAGCCATGTGTCCGTATCTTTCATAAGTTCATCAAAGTCTATATGTCCATCTAGACTTCTTGAAGCGGCTAAACTTCGAACTCATATAGGTAGGTTCTCATATACGTAATAGTGTCCTTTTGATAAGACACCTTCATTTAGAGCTTCTCAACTCTAAATCTTTGAGAATTTTAATTAGACGCTACCTTACACATCAC